TATTTATTAAAAAGTATAAGCTATAAAAGTCTTAATAATAAATCTATTTTATAAGACTAGTTTTATATTTCTTATAATATAAACTTTTTATATTATTAAATATTATAACTTAAACTTTATAACTATTATTAAAGACCTTTACTTAATTCTTTAAGCCTTATAGTTTTTTTATAATATTCTTATAATTAATAGCTAAAATTAGCTATTAATAATAAGTAAAGGTATTAATTTTATAAAGTAAGATTTTAAAACCTTTATATTTAATAAATATATAAAAGATTATATTTTAAAAAATAATTTAAAGGAATTTTATAAGTTTAGCTAATAGTATATAATTAATAATAAATTTAAATTTAGTTAAATAATAAGCTTTATAATAAAAGTCTTTAATTATTATTTTATTTACTTAAATTCTTAATTATTAATAAGCTTTTAAGACTTATTTCTTATTAATATAGCCTAGTCTTTTATATATAAAACTATATTTTATATTTATAATAAATAGTTTAATAAAAAGTATTATAAAATTATAATATTTACTAGTTAATAATATTATTATTTTTAAAACTATAATATTATACTTTTAATAAATTTTTATAATTATAATTACTTTATCTTTTTATTATATAAATAATCTTTTTATAAAGTTATATTAAATATCTTTTTATTTAAGAACTCTTAGGCTTATTATATTAATAGCACTTTAAGAAATATAAGTAATATTCTTAAATTTAATTATTTTATTATTTAGTAATAAAATAATAATAATACTTATTTTTTTAATTTTTAATATACTTTTATTAAATATAGCTATTATATTAGCTTTATTTAGTATTTAAATAAAAATAAACTACTTTAAGTTATTAAAATAGTATAAATTATAGCCTAAGTTAATAATAATATTATTTTAATTAATATTATATTTAGTTAAAGTAAAGTTATAATTTAAAATATTATTTTATATAATTTTAATAATATTATTTTTATTATTTTTAAAAAAATTAAGCTTAATAAGAATATTTAAGGTAATTATTATATTAATAAATAATTATCTTACTTTTATAATATTTAAGGTATTTTTAAATAGTTTTTTTTTTATTATAAACTTAAATTTATTTTTTTTATTATTATTTAATTTTTATTTTTATAAATAAAATTCTTAATATAAGTTTAAATAAGATTATAAATAATAATTCTTTAAGTAAAGTTTAAAATAAAGTCTTTAATAAGTATTAAGTATATAAGGCTTTTTATTTACTTAAATAATATAGCTATATTTTAGCTTTTTAGTTTTATTATTATTAAACTTACTTTATCTTTATTATTTATTATTATTATTATTTAATAAAAAAAAAGCAGGCTGCTTAAAAGTGCTAAATATTTTTTTAATCCTTACTTTTTTATTTACTTATAAGTAAAAGAATTTAATAAATTTATCTTTTTTAACTTCCTTACCTTAATAAAGATTTATAATTTAATACTTATACTAAGTTTTATTAATATATTTAAGGCTTATAAAAGCTATAATTATAAATTAAGCTTTTAGTATTTTAAAATATTAATATATAATATAAGTTTAAGCTTTTATTAATATATTAATATATACTTTTAAAAACCTAAATTAGCTATATTTTAAATAATTAAACTTTTAAATAATAATAAAAACTCCTTTTACTAAAGCTTTTAAAATAATAGTTTTTATTATATTAAAGAGTTTTTTTATTATTAAGTTATTATTATTAAAGCCCTTATAGTTAAGCTTTATATAAATCTTTATTAATAAGTTATTTAAAATAAATCTTATTATTAATATATTATTTTCTTTTTAAGTATTTTTTTTAGCTTAAGTAACTTTTTTAACTATAATATCTATCCCTTTAATAATACCTTAAAGGCTTATTAAGTATATATTAATTTTAAATATTTATTTTTAAGTATTTTAATTATTAAGGCCTTTTAATAATATTATTAAAAAAAAGAAGTTAGCTTATAAAGTCTTAAAAGTATTATTTTTTATAAATATTAGCTATATTATTTTAAGCTATATTATTTATAAGTTTAAGTTAAAATTATTATAATTAAAATCTTTATTTTTAATAATAAATTTAAGATTATCTTAATTTAAAAGGTTAAGTAATAATTATTTTATTAATATATAAGTAAAATAAAGTCTTTAAGCTTTTATAAATAAAAAAAAAAAAGTTAATTTTTTAAATTAAAAAAAAGGTAATTTATATTAAATTAAAGTATAACCTATATTAAGTTAAAGGTATAATAATAACTTTATTTATTACTAACTTAAAGGTTTAAATATAATTTTCTATAATTTTTAAAAGAGTATAAGGCTTATAACTTAATAAAGGTATAATAATAAGCTCTCTTTTTTTATAAAAGACTAGCTAAAAAGAAAGAGAAGGAAAATAAATAAATAGCTATAAACGCATTATAGGCCTAAGGCCTGTGGTGTTATAGGGTGGTCCTAAGTTATTAGGGTGGGGACCACCTAATATTAAACACCACCCGGCCAGGGACATACACAAAGAAAAAAGTCCCGCCTTATAGCAGCGCCCAGCGCGTGTTGCTGCCGGTACAAGCACTTCACATTGTTACGGTACATGGCCTTTTCCGAGTCAACCTTTCTCCCGGGACGGGCTGATACTAATGAATTTTCTGCCTGCCCCCCCCCCCCCCCGTTGAAGATTCCAAACGTTTGAATGCCTATTCCGTATTCCGCACGCGTGTAAGGCTCCGTATTCCTTTAGCTGTCGGGTCAGACTGCCGGCCCCCTTTAGCGGTAGCGTGTAAGCCATCGAGCATCTCGCAACTACATACTAGTACTACTACTACCTCCCATCCTCAACACACCATGTCCTCTCCATGCGCTCCCATAAAACGTAATAAACCGAAAAGCAATAGGTAATTCATGCTACGCACCGCATTAATTTACCGTTTCGCCACAGCAAGGGGTCAAAGAAACAAAGGAAGAAGAAACGTGGGAAAACGGGACACGGGAAGTACGTAAAATACACATGAAAGAAAAGAGCCCAACAAGGACACGCTCGTACTCATCCCATTGGACAAAACCGGTAGCTAAGCTGGAAAATTAAATGAAACCAGTTCATCTCAGTATAAAAGGTGTAAAAGCTGCTTTTGTCTCACCACACGCGGAAACAAAGCCGCGTAAAAAAAAAAATGAGCCCCTTCAAGGATGACGACGACGACGACGACGACTTGCCATCTTTTCCCAATACTTTCTTTGTTTCAACATCTCGCAATTTCGCCCCCAAGTCCCAGATGATGAGAAACGCATGATGTAGATACTAGGAAGCAGACGTATAAGCCCCCTAAGCGGTTACGCGTAAAGTTACGAAGACACAAAGAGAATCAGCCCAGCGAAACGCCTCACTTGCTCGATCAACACAAAAGATCGCATCTGCGCCCACGAACCAAGCCACACGACCTATATCAGATCAACGGGTACCCTAGCTTCAATACCTTGGTACAGCAGGAGCAGCAGGATTCCGTAGGCAGGTACCCGTCGTTATTACACGGTCAGCCATATCTTTCTTCCCTTTCCTCTGCATCTCGCATCCACCCCCTGTCGCCGCCCGAAGCCCCTGTTCGCCTGCCCTCCCTTGTACGACAGCCTCATTTTCCCCTTGCCCTTCCCTTACATTGTGTATAGCATCTGCATGGGTAGATTTGTATCCGTACCTTGGCGATGCTATCGTAAGCGGCTTCGTATAACACGGTCAACGCAAATGCAATCCACGTTTATGTAAACCATCACCGCCTCTCCAAATCCTTTACCGGTGTTAGGTATTACACCTTCGCTCGCTCGCTCTCGCTTCCTCCCACCGATGGATTTGCACCGATCTCTCTCCCAAGCTACGTGTTCCCAATTGCATGGTCCTGTGGGTAATAATCCACTCCCGCGAATCGACTTGTCCGATGCAGCCCAAGTCGCAATCTCCAGGCCGTGAGGGAGGGAGAGAGACACGGAGAGAGGCGGCAGGCAGTCGGACTAGGATTGCTGGCTGCGGGCCGGGGTCTTCTTGCGGGCATCGAGATCTGGTAACGAGAGCAGTCGTGCAAGGTATCGTGGGCTCTGCAGGCACAATTGGGTCGCAGTAGAAGTGCTCGTGACAACACAACACCGCTTCACAAATGGCTAATCTATGCCAGACCAAGTCTGCCTCTACATGATTTGCTCGACATCTATGAGACATAGATAGACCAACGGAGACACGTTGTTACATGCTCATTTGATTAGTCTAAATCAAGCTCTTCTACGTCTTCGTTAACTGTCTCAATTGCAATGTATTGGCTCCTTAGTAAATGAGTAGGTACGTACGTGGGACGAAACCCTTTGGCTACGCAAAGTCGTTGAAAGACTGTTTCCTCCTGCAAAGAGCCCGCCGCGTCAGGCAACATGCCCGCGAAATTTGAGTGAGATGTACATGAATATTACAGACAATTAACTGCCCGCCACAGATCGGCAAATCGTTTTCTCCTGCTTCCGGAAAACCAAACCCCTTTTTGTCCCTTCGATCAATTCTCGAGATGAAAGTGTAAGCCCGTCTCTCCTGGGTTGCTTTTGCGCAAACATGAAAAATTGCTTCTTTCCTAAACGCCAATGTCTCCTAGTTGCAAGAAACGATCCGTCCAGACAAACAGTCTGGGGTAGAAAATCATCGAATGAGGATAGTGAGAACAGAGCCATTGGCTCTTCAGCTCTTGCGAAGTGCCAACACTTCTCAAACCTAGCGCTGCTCTAAAGCCAGTAGTGGTAAAGCAGAAGCCATACAACGTCAAAGAGGCGGCTCACGCCTGACGGCGCTTCAAGAAAGCCATTTGTAAGGAGACCTGGTGCCCTATCCCGATCCCTTGACTTTGATGGCAGCCTTCTTCTTATCACCACCCTGAGCACTTGGCGGAGGGCTCTGCTGCGAAGAGCCAGTTGCATTGGCCTCGTCTTTGCTCGCCTTGCTCTTCTTGCTCTTCGACTGCACAGGTGTAGCAAAAGCGGCAGAAGGGGGGAGAGGAACAGGCGATTCCTTAGGTCGGGCAGTCAGTGGGATGCTAGGCAGCGGGACTGCAGTCTGTCGAGGTGCGGGCACAGGAGTCTCGGGCTTCGTCTTCTTGGTCGACTTCTTAGCAGTGCTAGGAGTGGCGGTTGCAGCCTTGGAGGGAGTAGCAACAGCTGTAGCTGACGATGAAAGGTTCGAAAAGGAATAGGCCGACGACGACGGGATAGTGGGCGGTGCGATGGGGGTCTGCTTCTTTGGCATGGGGGGAAGCTCTGCTCCGAGTTCGGGACTGCTAGCCCTGGCCGTCTTCTGCTTCTTGCTCTTGCCCTTTGCCGAAGAAATGTCTTCCTTGAGTTGCGCCTCCGCTGCCACAGCATCGTCTTCAGAGTTGGTGTGCTTTCTCTTGCCCTTGCGATCAGCCTTGGGGGTCTTCACATCCGCAGCTTTGGGCGTGGCAGCGACATCAGCATCCTTCTTCTTGTCTTTGCTCTCAGACAGTTTGGCATCATCCTTCTTGCTCTTCTTCTCCTTCTTGGCAGGCTTGGGGGTCGCTACTGCTGCAGGCGCCTCATCCATCTCAACATCTTCGTCTCCAGAAGCATCTGCTCCGATGTTGCCCATGGGAGTATTGACGCCGAACGGCTGGTATCTGGCCTTGAGGCCCTTTGGCTGCGGCCGAGCGGCCCGACGAGGCTCGGGGCCGGCAGTTGAAGCGGCTGCACCTCCGAGGTTGGCAATCCTCTTGATGTGCATTGTCTGAGCAACTTGCTGGCGTGCTAAGGGGAAGGATTAGTCTCGAGTTAACTCATTACAAAGACATCGGGATGTCTACTGACCAGGTTGGTAATTCGAATCGCTGCTGGAAGGAATCAAAATCTGAATCGAGCTTCTGGTCGAGATGGTGTCAAAGGAGACGCCATAGTCTTGGCCGTCATGCGAGAAGACGCGACTGCCGAGCTGCGAACGGTCCATGGGGATTTCGATGTTTTCGATGACAGAGACGGGGACGTTAGACGGCACTGTAAAGTACCAGAATTGCTTGCCCTGGAGGTTTGCCTCGTTGCAGATTCGCGCCACGTCCTGGCCGTTGGCTCCATCGTCTCCCTTGCGAAGCGTGAAGTCAGGGGCAATGAAGTTCGGGACTGCGACCTGGGTCTCCGTCTCACGATCTGAAAGTCCCATTGATTCGTCGGCTTGCGCATCGCTGTCTTCAGAGTCGGATGATGACTCTTCAGTGACCTCTTTGGCGGGTTGAGCCTTTGCGGACGTCACTTTGGCAGTCTGCGCCTTGGTAGCCTGGGCCTTGGTGGATTGAGCTTTAGTGGGTTGAGCCTTGGTAGGCTGAGGCTTTGCAGGCTCGTCCTCGTCCTCGCTGGACTCCTCGCTAGAGCTGCTCGAATCGGCAGCTGCGGCAGCTGCCTTGGCAGTGCCGTTTGTAGCGGCAGGTTTGGCAGGTGTGGCCGCCTGCTTCGCAGCTGGTTTGGGTTCTGCTTTGGGTTCTTCTTCTTCTTCGCCGTCAGACTCTTCGTCGCCGTCCTCGCTTTCGTCCTCGGAGCTACTGCTGGACGACTCCTCGCCAGCCGCAGCCTGAGGAGCTGCGACAGCTCCGTTGGCCTTTGCCTTGGGTTCATCCTGTTCCGACTCGGACTCGCTGGAGGAATCGCTCGACGTCTCGGAGGTGGACGACTCCTTCTTGGCGAGCTGCTCTTTCTTAGCGGCCGCACGCTTAGCAGAAGCGGTTCGCTCAATGTCGCTGTCGGCGATCTCGTCGACCTTGCCACGACGCTTGGGGCCGGTCGAAGGCGTTGCGCCGTTGGCACCGAGCTTCTTCAGGAGGTCGGCGCCAGTCTCGCCATCGCTGTCACTGTCGCTCTCGCTGCTGTCGCTGGACTCGTCGCTGTCGTTGTTGTTTCCGAAGACGGCGGCGTTGAGGGCGCCAGGCTCGTTCTTGACGGCCGCTGCGGCAGCCTTGGCGATGGGTCGGCGGTTGTACTGGGCGGAGCCGCTGAGGCCCTTCTTGGTGTCTTCGACGTGCTTGTTGAGCGAGTGCACCTTGTAAGGCTCCTTGGGCGCCATTGTGGAGGAGTGGCGAGGTGCAATGCGCCGGGGTTGGGGGGTTGGAGAAGAGGCGGGAGGTTGGAGAAGAGGATGATGATGATGATGCTCTCTGAACTTTTTTTTTCTGGGCGGAAAGTTGGAAATTTTGAGATGCTGATGCTGAGCCCCACCAAGAACGCGCCCGTAATGGGAAAAGCGCGCTTTGGCGGGACGTGTCTGGGCGCACCGCGGCTTATCGATTGGTATCGATAACGCTTTTTCAGAAGCTTGCGCCAAATGGCTGTGGCTGCGACTCATTGGCTTCATGCTGTGTGATTGTCTTTCTGCGATTTCGTCCCTGGTATCGTCAAATCTGTCATACCGGGGTTTCCCATCACTTGTTGTTTGTAAAGCGCCCCGACCCTGTCTATGAACGTCTCTCATTTGAGCTTCCAAGCTCGCCCATTGACAGTTGCTTTTTGCGTCTTTCCTCTCCGCAAATGACCTAGACATGTCTTCCAACAAACGCCGTAAACTCGACGCTCCAGCTGCTCCTGCATGTAAGCCATCCAAAACAGTCTCTCACCAAGCCCCTTGAGTCCTCTCAATGTGATCTAATGGCTTTGGACCAATCTGTAGCAGCAGTAAGCGCAATCAGTGCACTTGCAGCTCGCCGTCGTCTCGCTGCCAATACACCCGTCAGGGAGCCCAGCTCATCTCCCGAGCCTGAAGAGTCATCTTCAGCCAGAACAAACTCATTCAGTGTGCTACAAACCCTGAAGCGCCAAAATGAGCCTCCCAAGTCACCCAAGAAGAATGCATCAAGGGGCCCTCTCAGTCGCGGCGAATCGAGGGCGGCCTCACTAGGCAACAGGATGAGGTACGCCAACCATACCTCGGTATAAGCGGTCGTGGACTGACATGGGGGATTCCCGATACTAGCAGCGACCCTTCTACTCCAGATGCCGCATCTTCAGCTACTCGAGTGCAATACTCATCTTTCTTACTCAATAAAAACAACTGCCGTGTCACGACGAAGGGCACCGTTGCGCTGAAGCTCAGAGACAGCGAGGTATTACCACCATGCCCCCCTCTAAGCTTCGGTTTCGGATTGGCTAATTCAAAGCACTTAGCGATTCATTGTCATTGGAAGCTTTGGAATCAAAGTGTCAGCCGGAGAGGTGACCATCTTCGGGGCAACACTGAAGCCATCAGATGCGATACACTGGGTTCATGCCCCTCACTGCCATGCAATCCCCGTCATCAGAACCTCGGAAAAGGTCGCCCTAGAGCTTCACAGTGATTCGAATGCGGACGGCCTGCGGCGCTTGAGCCGTCTATCACCTCTGTTCAGAGGCATATGGGGCGAGTCCAAGGATGACTCTACAGAAGCAACCCTAGGAAAGGGCCGAACCTTCCAGATTGTATGTTCAGCAAGCTTGGCCTCCTTCGAGCAGCTTCGAGAAACTAACAATCTCCAGGTATGCAGCTCTGATGACGCCCCTAAGAAGTGCGTCATACAAGAGCTCTCATCTCCTCCAGCATGGAACAAGAAGTTGGCCGACCTCGTCACAGTAGCCAAGAATGGCCCGTTGACGACTCTTGTATGCGGCCCCAAGTCTGCCGGGAAATCGACCTTTTCCAAAATGTTGGCGAATCGTCTCTTGACGAGCGAAACAGCGGCGACGGCACGCGCGGGCACCCATGGCGTAGCAGTCCTCGACCTGGATCCGGGACAGCCAGAGTATGCACCTTGTGGGACGCTGTCCCTCGTCCACGTCACCCGGCCGAACCTAAGTGCTGCTTTTACCCACCCAAATCTCGACAATGATACCTACAAAGTCATCAGGTGTCACGCCCTGGCGTCTTTGACACCGGCTTCAGCCCCGGAACACTACTTGGAGTGCGTACTGGACCTTTTGGACTCCTATCGAAGACTGTTGCGCAATTGCCACCTTCTCATCAACACCCCTGGTTGGATCCTGGGTACTGGCCAGGACCTGCTTGTCGACATCATCTCCCGAGTCAACCCTCCAGAAGTAATCTACATGTCCGAAGACGGCCCTGCAGACGTAGTGGAGGTCTTGCGCGCTGCGACGAAGAGGAGCTTCACTACACTCCCCTCGCAGCCGTCAGAGTTCGCCTCCCGTACTGCGGCTCACTTGAGGGCCATGCAGGCCATGTCGTATTTCCATTTACAAAACGAGGGCAAGGCAAGCGGCGGAATGAGGTCAAGCTGGAACTCTTCGCCGCTGTCATCGATGCCTCCATTGCAGGTGCGGTATTCTGGCTCTGGTCAAGGAATTCAGGGCATCTTACCATACGACTACCAGACTCCACCAGAGCTACTTTCTCAGGCAGTCAATGGAATGATTCTCGCCGCGGTTGATGTCGAGGACTCCAAAGCATTTCGCAATCTTGCCAGCACTGCGGCATCACCGGACGAGAACGGAGCTTCCGCAGTAGAAGGCATGATCTCAAGGACAGCAGAGGGTCTGCCGTATATCCCCAACCCCAATGATATAGCCCTCGACCCACGCTTCTCTCGCACAATCGGCCTCGTGCTCATCCGAGGCATCGACACCGCCACTCAAACGCTCCAAGTCCTCACGCCCATCCCTCTACAAACGATAGAGCAGATCCGTTCGCAGGGACGGCAAATCGTGCTGGTTCATGGAAGATTCGACGCGCCAACCTGGGCTTACACGGAAGATCTATACCACCGCTCCCAACAGGGAGATGCTGGCGCGGAGAGGGCCCTGCAGATGGCGGGCGTGGACCCCAACGACGAGGAAGAAGAAGACGACGAAGACGAAGTCGTAGTCGCCAGCAACGAAGAAGAAGCGGCAGCGGAAACCGACGCTCCCCCACTGGATCCAAGTGCTGGCTCCTCCACGGCCCTCCCTTGGGTGGAAGTGCTACGCGGCAGTCAGAAGCGGCCAGTCGGATCACGCGTGTGGAGAGTGCGGAGAGACCTGGGCCGCAATGTCGGCGGCGACTGAGGAAAGGATCGTCTAGAGAGGAAATGATACCGCGGTTGCCGGAAGCAAACAATCGAATAGAACAAGAGCTAGGCTACGGAGACTGATTTTAGATGTCTTACAGTCCGTAGGCCGCCCGCAATGTAATAATTCTGTACATGCTGATACGATACTTTTGATGGACAATATATGAGCATTTGATTAGATGACCCATGGTGGCTCAAGCCACAAACCTGAAGCGAGGGACCATTGTCATAATCCGTGTTCTGTTGGGATATTTATCGCGTACCTGGCTATGGATTCCAGGAGGAACAGGGTCCCATTCAGACGGTAGCCACTTCTTGCATAAGTCGAGTTCTCGGGGCAAACGCATGCTGCCCCAAGACGGAGCTTGGGGTCGTACGAGAAATGGAGAGGAAATTGGCTTGTTCGACTCTGCACATACGGGTGCTCGTATGCAGCCCTGGACAAAGGAGGCAACAGGACATGTCACTGCGTGAATTTAGGAGCTGCAGAGGCACGAGATCTGCTGGTGCAATTCAGATTTCCTTCACCAATTCACCCCCCCGAGGACATCATGTCGAATTACCCAGTTGACAGCCAGAAATCTCTCGCCCTAGATTGTGATGATGAGGCGTCCAACTTTCGTTGACGATCGAGGCCAAGAACCAGTCCCACTCCCCGATACATGAAGGGCGCTCTCGAATTCCAAATCGAACAGCAAACAACGGCTTGCTAGACGCTGCGTTCAATTGCAAGGGTCTGTCTCTGCTGATTGGAGCACAGCAGATGTCTGCATCCGCTGTCAACCTAGTCTCCTTGTGTCCAGGCAGACACCTTGTGAACAGGTGTAACTCGAGAGGTGTCTTGCGGGAAACTGAGACAACTTATCAAGACGAAAACACGAGTGTAGCTGGGTACAGCTTTCTAGCATGCATCCCTTGGCAAAAAAAAAAAAACGCCCGGCGGTGAGAAGGGAAACAAATAAAAGACTTCCTGTACTCGTCTGATGCTGTACCGCCTTGTCGAAGTATTTGGCGATGACGTATCGCCAACTTCGATGGCTAGCTCCAGCTCCTTGACATATATGAGGACAATGACAAAGAACCGGAACGTCATCGCCGGCAATGTCGTGCTTGGACCAAATCCATCCGGAGAGATCAGATGAAGGATGAAAAGAAATTGAGGCGGATGCTGTTTGTGTGAGATTGGATGACGTGGGAGGGCAAAAGAGAACCTGTGAGACTGACAGGGGCTACCCTGTACCAACCTCGTTCCCGCCAGAAGGACCTTGAAGGGTTGAGGCTCGATCTGTCGCCGAGGCGAAAGCAGCCGACATCGACGTGCGGCTGAGGGCTTGCTCTGCTCAGAGCACCGTACGTCGCACCAATCTCTGCTGAATTCTTGCGTATCTTGGTACTCCAATGCGGGTGCTACAGTATGGTAACGGTCGGTGTGCAAAGTCAACTTACAAAGTTGTTACGCACTCGTAGGGTGCGTACATGGACGTTGTTCAGTGCGATAGTACTAAGGTAGGCACTCATCTCCGCAGCCTCGACCTCGATCGGACTTATCATGGTGGGTAACAGCTGGCGGCATCTCCCAGATCCCGAGTCGAGGCGGAGTGTCCCGAGATCTTTGTCTTATGGTTATCGAGCCCCAGCTCAAGTGCTGCTATACCTGTTTAGGTGCAGGTAAGTGATGCTTACTTCCTTCGTAGGTATTTGGAAGCAGGATCTTTGTATTTTACGTGTCTTTCCTTAGAAGGACACGGAAAAGGAATAGGGAATTTCATCTGAGACTCAATCATCAGGTTGAGGCGGGGAGCTGAGATGATCGTGCCCCGTATCGTATTCGGACAAACATTGCTGCTACTAAACTGCAGACAGGCATCTTCCGTCCCCGGGTCATTGATCCCTGTCTCACGGATCTGGCTCCAACCGGACTCTTGGATTCGCACACGCGAAGGACGGGAGACCAGCGCAATCAGCCGGGGGGAGGAGGGAGGCCCAAGCAGGGGAAAGCGACGGCCAGGGCCTCTCCCTTGTCGAACGCGGCAGACATGGACCGCAGCTGAGCAGCCGTCGCTCTCATCACATGTACATGCATGCATGTAATGAGCCGGGAACTGGCGTATTAGCTCCAACGGTCTTGCAGATCGGGCTGCCTCCGGTGACGCGCCAGCGATGCGCCTGAAAAGGGGGAAAGGCAGAGAGGTACGACAAACGACGGAGATCTAGGTATTGATGGAGGGGAGCGACGCATATGTGCAGTATCTACCGGCATCAAGCTCCTTTATGGAAGAGAGCTGCGTCTGGAAAATCCAGAATGGCGAAGCAGCTAGAGACTTCTGAGGCTTGCCGGCGGCATACTACCTAGGTACATAGTGGGCAGATTCCGATAATACTAGCAACAGACGGCTGAACAGCGCCGAGACATGGCTTGATGCAGGGGAGAGGAAACGGGAACCCGGTCAAGCTCATGACTACCTTAGATGATCTGGGTAGCTTTCTTCCTTGTTTCTCCCCTCCCCTATCCGCACACCCTTTGCTAGTATCTTGAAGTACATGTAGGCAGTCGTCCACGTCGGAGGCTTGAGCCCAGGCTGAGCTACATGTGCCTTATCTCATCAAGTTATAACGAAGCGGCTGCCGCCTCCATTGATCCAAGGGCACCTCTCGTGTCGGGGCAGCATTCAGCTCATCTCTGCCGGTCATTATTGCTTTGGCCCCCCTCATCCGCCTTCCATCGATTTGCCCTCTGTTCATTCTTACCTCGAAGCCTTCCAACAGCACAAACACATATATTCAGGCTTCAGGTTAGATTCTCCGCTAGCACGGTCCCCCCCATCTTTGGGGGCTTCAGCTCTAGCCCTTCGCCGCTGACACCATCCAGCTCCACCAAAAGCGCCGTTGGCCGGCCGTCAGGGAGCCGTTGGTTGTCCGTTTGGCCTCCGCCTCCGCCTTCCCGTCGCCTCGACAGCGACCGTAGCTCAGCGTCCCCCGCCTCGAACCAGCCTTTATCCTTCCCCTCTCGGCCTTCTCTCTATCTCGAAAATCTCTAAGGCAACATGACTACGGACGAGCTACCGGTAGAAGACACGGGCGGTCGGGCGCAAGGGGCCCCGATGACGCAGGCGAGGGCGATGGGGGTTCAAATGCACTCCTCTTGCTCCGAGTGTAGACGCCGGAAACAAAAGGTATGTCGATGATATATATCTTGACACTCTGCTAGGACTAATTTTGGCTCTCATGGCCCAAATCAACATGTCTCCTACACCATCGTGCTACTAGCCTTTGCTGTTCTAACTCACTCAATAGTGTAGCCGATATTGGCCGTGCCGGCACTGCGGCACTCGGCGTGTTGCCAACGAATGCACCTTTCAGTCCGTTCTCGAGGTAAAGGCTCCCGAGGAACGTCGGGCCCGGCTGGACAAGCTTGCGGCGGAGATGGAAGGGGCGAGCTTCTTCTCGCAAGCCTTGAATGAAGAGTTGGACGATGGCAGTCCTAGCACTGTTGACGATCTTGAGGCATTGGGGTACTCAAGTGCTCACGCTGTCTCGAGCTGTAGCCTTGAGCCAGAGGAACAGCAGGTATAATCCCATCATGGCAAATCGGGATCTGAGGGGGCTAGCACCTCTGCTAGATGGAGTCATGGCTTGGTATTAGGATTTCGGGCAGCCTTGTTTATTGTAGTCAAGAAGAATGTAAAATGTCACCGTCCAGACCATGCCTCGGTGGCTGCTCCTCGCTTCCAACTTCATCTTTCACAAAGGGGTCATCCTTCGCAGATGCACTTGTGGATAACTTGCCGTATGTACATAGGCTATAGCACCAGCATAGTCATACTTGGGAGCCTCTAAGGACTCCTACGAAGCCCGAAACTCCAGTGTCTGTGCTTGTAATGATATGCTATCCTCGAAACAATAACGCCTTGAACACCACGCTTCGTAAGTAAGGGATACAATCCCTTGCTTCTGGAAAAAAAGTAAACATGCTATCCTACCGAATCAAACAGCTTGAAAATGAAATGAATAGTCGGGAGCATCAGACTTGAGCAGCAACGTGCTGCCCTGTAACCCACTGAACCACTACACGCGCAGCCCGCGAGGCAGAATAGGAGCAACTATGGAAATCCAGAGCACGTCTGTCGATAGCTGCTCCTGACAGTATCAGGATAGCAGCACACGGCTGTGCCCGCAGCGACCAAGTTGAGGAAACGTTACTGGCTGCACCCGACCCTGTCAGGATAACCAGCATACGCAACTTGGTCCGCTGAGCTTGGGGTCTCGCCTGGTATATGTGTGAATCCGCCACCGGCCAGGACGGCTAGGTTGCGGAATCGCGCACGGCGACGACACTAAGAGGCGTTACTGGCTGCACCCGGCCCTGCCAGGATAACCAGCATACGCAGCGTCGCCCGCCATGCCGATACCTTGAAAGCGAGACCCTGGATCTTGTGTCAAAGTCCGTCGCTGGCTGCACCCGACCCTGTCAGGATAACCAGTACATGGACTCCATACACTTCCATTGCCTACCTACCTTACCGCAAGTCGAACGGCATAGGGTCCAGAGGTCGTAGAGCAGAACTTTGTCGTCCAAGAAACTCATTGACTATGTGAATAATGGCCGGTCTTTGCCTCTGGTCCTGCTAGAGGCGCTGCGGGATATCGTCTTGGCCATGGTACTGGTGGTGGCCTTGGTGGTAACTTTAGTAGTCTCGGTGGTAGTGCTGTCCTTCGTAGAGACTTTGGTAGAGGCCCTCCTGATGCCCCTGGTAGCTTTTGTTCTGCGGGAGTTGTTGACATCGATGCTGGCCGGTGCCTTCAGCCGCCGGCTGTTCTGGCTTGTTAAAGTTCGGTCCTGAGCAGGTTCCGGCGCTGAGTGCTTTGGCTCCTGCACGTCTGGCTTGCCACGCTGGTCGAGTTGGAGCAGCTGCGCGTCCTCACCTGAGAGCTGCCGCCGTCTTGCACGCGTGATGCGGAGAGGCGATGCTCTGGCCAGAGTGCGCCCAGAGCCGACGGTAGTGAAAGCATGTTGGGCACTCTGCTCAATGTTGGTCACCTCCACCGTGTTCCATCTCCTCCGCTTCGATCCCGGCACTTCATCGCCCAGCCGAGAGCCCTGTGATTCTTCGCCATTTGCTTGGGAACCCCTCTTTCTCTTTTGTGGCGGCTGTATCTTCCATTGTGCATCAAGTCTCCTCTTTTTGTCGCTTGGCTGTTTTGATATGCCGGTGGATGATGGCTCGTCTAGAGGTTCTTCACCGTCTCGCTTCCTCTTGTGGCCCGCTGTATCTGGGGATGTCGATAGCTGTGGGCGCTTGTCCGTCCTCTGTCTCTTAGTTGATGTTTCAACGGTGCCATCCTCAACTGGCAGGCTTGTTTGTTTCCGTTTCCGGGTCGGTTCAGGATTTGGTAATGACGAGATTCTTGAAGATTCCATCTCCTTTCCGCTTTGTGGTCTCTCATGGGGTTGCTCGATCGAGGGACGTATGGCCGAGCCATCTATTTCTAGCTGCTCAGCTGCCGGCTCTTCGCTATTCTCAATGCTTCTTTGAATATTGCTCGAGTGTCGTCTAGGGCCTTGAGGACTACCACTGAAGGATGACAGAGCCATATTATTGTTTCTGCTTCGACGCACATCGACATTCGCTGATGAATCATTCGGGAACTCCTTGTCGCGGGTTTCCCTACGCTGTCTTTCCCAAAACTCGGGGGGAATCTCGAACTTCTCATGCTCCTCGTGTACCATGGGCCTTCTCAGAAATTCCCAATCCACAATGTCCATGCCTCGTAAGACTTTTTCTTGGTTGCGCAAGGCTGTTTGGGCTCGGACATCATCATCATCATCAATATCGCTGCTTGGAGATAGTAGTCTTCCTCCCTTCACCTTGAAGTAGTCGTCAATCTTTTGAAGAAGCCAAATGTTATAATGACTCCTCCAGGCCAAATGATACTCCCTGTCAGTTTCGTGTGGGCGCCGAGGAGGCGGATCGCAAGGAACTCGTTCTTTCGGGACCATTTTCATGAGTGGCTCAAAGACTTCGAAATCATATGGCTCCCTACGCTCATATGGAGCAACGATCTCTGCTGCCGCTCGGACGCGCTCTGCTACCGTCCGAATGTCTTCCGCTGTCACTGTGGCCATTTGGTTGGCGGTTTATGCTGCTTTCACGCGTTGCGAAACTCATCACAGGCCCAAGATATGGAAAGTTGAATGAGCTACTCGTAAGGTACTAAGGTAATCACGAAGGATTGCGCTTATGTCACGTGGACTCGCATCACGTGAGACGCAGGCTACTCATGGCGATATATGGCCAAGGTTGAAATTCACGCCTTCAAAAGCAGTCAACAGCTGTATCAGCATCCTGGGCACGTCATTGTCTTAGGTGGTTGAATCAACCGTCGCAGAGGTCATCATGGCCTTGTCGTCTGCAGAAATGTCCCTGAGCTTTGCAACCTTGACGCCAGAGTCCAAAGTGGCTCAAACCCACTTGGCGTCGCTTGTGGCCAAGCACCGTTCAGACGCCGTCGGTTCACCAATGGACCTAGTCATTCCCACTAGACACTTGAGCAACGCATCCCCGTCAGACGCCCACGATATCGCTTCACGGTCGAGATATACAATCGTCTTTACATTCGGCCGAGAAGGCCATGGCCGTGATTCGGAGTGGGTTGTCGGGAAATTGGCTTCCAACAAGCATGAACAGTGCATCGACTTGCCAGTCTGTTCTCCGAGATCGCGCTGCTTCAAAGGGCGGGAGCTTTTCGATGTCTTTTTTCACCGCAAGTCTGGGGTCTTGATGATTCGCAATGCCAATGCCAACCACTCCTTATGGTATCTGAATGCCGACAATCAAGGCAATCACATCGAGTTGCAATATCATGAGGAGCATGTTCTTCATCTATCCACTAATCTGCTCCGCATTGGCTCGCTGCACTACGCATTGCAATATTCCATCGAGAGTGCAAGTGCATTCTTGGCCAGCCGCAAAGCATATATGCAGGTACAGCTTGGGAATTGGGATATTCCTCGCTGCTTTGCGATCCAACCACGGCTTGATCACATCCGTCTGAGGCATGTTATCCTACACAACGTCATTGCAAAGGGCAACACTTGCGTCGTCAGAGCCGGCGTGGACAGAAGGACCGGGAACCCTATCGCATGTAAGACCATGCAATGTTCGCAGGCCAATATCGAAGCTGTAGTCAACGAAATTAGCATTGCCTCAATCATTGCCGCTCACGCATCGAGTGGCCTTGTGCCTCTGCTTTCCAAGTCTTGTGGACATGGCTCTCCGCTGCCTTGTTCCCAAGCCGAGTATGAGGACATGCACCTGGTCATGCCCTACGCGCCTTTTACCTTTGATACCGCACCGTGGCAGGAGATCAGCGCATCTCTGAAGCTTGCGCTCTTTCGCCACACTCTCGAAGGACTCAAGAACCTTCATGCGGCGGGAATCATGCATAGAGATATCAACCCTAGCAATCTGCTTGTGTTCTCACTGCAGCCTGCCGCCGCCGCTATTGGCGACTTTGGCATGGCCAAGGTGGGCTCTCAGAGTGCTGAGAAATTTCTTGGGTCTCTCTCCTATCAGGCTCCTGAGGTTGCTACCCACGAGACCAACACAAATGCCATTGATATTTTCAGTCTGGCTTTATCTATCATGGCTACATTTGAGGGTTGCATGTGGTCTGGTCCACTCTCTGACCACGAAAACTACTCTGCTATGCTGGACCATCTCGCACGCCTGGAGACGCAAATGCCCGACGGCCTGGCAACAGTTCTTCGCGCCATGTTATCACCAGACTCTTCCCAACGGCCCAGTGCCGACGATGTTTTGACGGATGCAGTTTGGGAACAGATCGAAGAGCCGGGCTCTGTTCGTATTTCAAGTCTTCAAAGTAGCGAGGAAAGCTTCAGCATGCAGCGGCCGGACAACGACCTGCCTCTTCCTGGCTCGAATGTGGGAGACGGTCTTGATCGAAGCCTTCAGTCTCCAATCCCAGAGCTTTTGACCCGATCGTCAAGCCCCAGCAGCAACACTTCTAGCGCCGATGATTCGAACCAGCGGATGAAGCGCTCAGATGCGCCGCCGCCTTCATCCATTGGGAGCGACAACGCCAGTTCAACAGCTGAGACGCAGGGTCGGGACCATTCAAGGGAGCGGATGAGTCGTTCAGAGGCTCCATCCCCATCATCAGCTGCAAACGACGACAATTGAAGACAAGGGGTCTTTTGTGCTTGCTTGTGCATTGACTGTCGCATTGTTGAACAAAGGTCAGTCGCGAGGCACATGGACTTCACTCTCCTTTCAGCATGCGGTCCCTATGGTCAAGAGCCGGAATAGGTAGTTTTCAGCCGTCAGCCAGCGAGTACCGGCTATTGTATGTGTTCCCTCCCCTACCCTTCGTACAATCCTTCTTCCTTGTTTTTGTCGGAAGGCAAAGTCCGTTGCGGTCCTTCAGTTCACCTACGCTACGCCCGTGACTTGATGTGGCGCCCAAGGTTGGGCTTTAGATCAGGTGAAAACCCCAAAAGTATGTGATCCTCGCCATGTCTGTCAGATTTTGCGTCTCCCGTCGACTTGTAGAGCCGCATTGTTGCCACTAGGCATTTGACCAGCGTCACCCCCGTCAGATGCCATTGACTTCGCCCCACGCTTGAAAGTCATCTTGATCCGGGAGGAAGGGTCATGGCCGTGATTCAGCGTGGGCTGTTGAAAGATTACATTCCAGTAGGCAAATATTTGCGAGTGTTGAGGCTTAATGATCATCCACAGTGAGAGCAACTCCTCCCCAGAGTCTCCTTTCAGTACTTAAGGAACAATCTCACGCAGATGTCGTTTAAAAGAAAACTGCGGGCCATTGGGCTTTAGTAAGTACCTTAGCTAGACTCCTCTCCTTTTAGCTCCCTTTAAAGTGTCTAAGTTGGCATGGCGAACAGCTATCCGCGTCAACAAAGGGCTTTGTTTTAGTCAAGACTGCTTCATCAGTAGCTTTGAAAAACGCGCGAATAGAAGAGCATTGCAAGGAAACTTCTCCTAGTATTACATTCTTTACTTATACACATATTATCGCGATGGATCATCTAACACGGCGAGCCATGCCATGAGTTATAGTCAGAAATCCAAGACTGTAGCTCAAACTACAGCCAGACCTCACTTCTGGCTATGAAGCTTTGGCAGTACCTAGTCGAACTCTGCTATGATAATAATGGTCTTCTATAGAAAGAGAAATGACAACCCAGGCCTACCTCTAAGGTGTCGCTATTCTAGAACTGCAATCGCTAGTTGAGCACATAGGTAAGAATGCCTGTCAACACACCAACCACGCCTATGATAGCACCAAACACCCCTAGCCCAACATCTAAACTCTTCCACAGAATACCTGCCACGACTCCACAGATGATAGAAAAGGTCAGGGCTAGCAAGACAGTCGCTGAAAACATAACCTTGTCGAGCTCCAAGAGTATCAACAACACATCCCTGGGTTGGATGGTGCCAGGCGCCTCGACGATAGCTGCGAAGCGGCGGTACGAGGTAACGAAGTCGCACTCGGCCGGGAGCTCTCTGGGGTTATACAAAGCCCTTGTCAGAACGTGGCAGCGATGCTTGGCTCCAATGTCGACAGTACAAGGAAGGTCTTGAGAGATAGCTTCGATTGGTACCTAGGAACAACTCAGCCTTTCATCTTAATCTTGATAGATGAGTACAGCGGGCGGATCAAGTTTGGACGTCAACGTACTGGGTACATCGTTGCGTTGTAAACCACCGGCCTCAGAAATGGGACGATCTTCATGAACTTGCTCGTCCACCAGCCGCGAGAGGTCAGAAGAGTCTTTTTTAGTTTGTGCATGACATCAATCCCCTTGTCGGAGGATCGAAGTGGGATATGGTATAGACGATAGTCACCGTGGCTAAGCACGACCACACGGAAGTTGACCCATGTTGAATCAAGCTGAGACTCCAATTCAACGTCCCGCGATATAGACATGATACTGAAAATTCAACGCTGACTGATAAGATGTGGTTGCCTATGAATGACACCAAAGCATGAATGGAACGATGGCCTGAGTAGATGGTTGTGCCGTCTATTTAATTGCTCCATGTTTTTAGGAATCTGGAGACTCCTAAAAGGTGGTTGAGAAGCTTGAGAGGCTCAGCGGTGAGCGACACGTACTGATGTATGCGATTCCTGAAAATCTCAACGCGTCAGGAAACTTCAGTAGGAAACCGGCCGACCCGAAGTTGCATGTACTAGTCTGACAGCCGCAGATTTCCAAAGATCAATTTAGGAATGCATCCCCTGTTGGTACTGGCCCGACCAGTAGGTATATACTCGCCCACCATCATGCAGACGCACGTATAAATATGATCCGCCTGCCCACTCTGATTTCGGATGCTGGTTAACGATGGGCTTCGGATCAGATAGCAAGACAATATTATTTCATGCTCGATAATTATGTTTATTTTTTTTTCTCTTCCTGAAAGAGCTGGCACAACGCAGACCATTTGTTGCAAGAACGGTCGCCGCTCTCACTTGAGCTGCTGAACCACCCGCCCTTCCCCACAGCGAAAGTCTGGGGATATATGACAGTCATGAAGCCATCTTTCGAGCGTAACTATTCCATATGCCCTCCGTTCAAGTAAGCTTCCAACTCCTGCCCGTTTTCTACATTCGTACGAATATTTACAGTGTCAGTATGGTTGATACGAGCATTGAGCATTCGCCGGCGACATGCGCACCCAGCGTATCGTCAAATCGGACCACCTCTTCGTCCACCACTTATAAGCCATCTTCCTCAACTACCACAGCCAAACATGGCGGAACCATTCAATGCGCGCATTGCAATGCGAAGTTTCAACTCGGAAAAAACGGTCGTAGGGGCCAGACCAGCAATCTCCGAAAACACATCAAGATTCACCATCCCGAAACCATCCCAGGTTTCCAGCGAGTCATCTACCAATGCCGCCATGGCTGCGGCGCAAGAGATCCCAATAAGTCGAATATCAAGGCCCACGAGAGCAAACACTGCGCCAAGAGGAAAGGCAAGCAGCCGAGACGCCGTGGCAAGTGGAGGCAGACTATCACAGAGTCGTCTTGAAGTCTGGCGTCGATGTGACTCGATGGAGAAGGACTCAAACAGGCGACACGGTTCGGCTCATGGCTGATGACGATAAGTAGGTAGGATATGTCAATATATGGGCTTCGTCCTTGTCTGTTTGCATAGGTAGTTCGAGTAGTACCCACCTTAACTGTCTAGTAAGAAATGGTCAACTTAGGATGGTGATTTAATACTGGAGACGGGCAGATCTTTGATTTAGTGATGTTGCCGATGTTCCTGTATGTAGGTACGGCAATGGCATCTCGCCTAGCCTCCGCCTAGGCTTTATTACCCGTTAATATACTCAGATACTACATGTACTCGTAGGTGACGACATAATACTTATACATAAGCAAGCGGTCTGCAAATTAATAGGGACCGCAAAATGAATACGTGCGTACACTCGAAAAATAAGTGCAGCAGTATCGACAAACTGTGGAGCCTGAGTGTGTGTGTATGATATTCTTTTGTGTGTGAATTATTTTGGGTTTCCCGGTTATTTTGCAAGCCGCTTGATAGGTCAGCAGCTTCGCCTGACGGCGTGTTGGGATGGTCCAAGCTCAGAGATCCCTGATGCCTCCCCTGTAACTAGCTGTTTTAGGCAATCATGGGCGTGCTGAAATATTCCGTGCTGAGATTTTACGTCCGGGGACGCAAAATTTCAGCACTGGGTAATTCTCAGTACGCTAATCCAAAATGATGAGTGAATCAGGAGTTACCTATGGAGGCCTCCCCTATTTTGCCTGCGCAAATGATCTATAGTAACTGTGTGGACCACACTAAAGCCATTAGACTGCGATAGCGCCACACTAACTTGAGAGGTACATCTGCAAGTACTCAAGAGATAAGCGCTATAACTCAGTGCTATAGCTTCTGTAATTACTGTAATACAGCACTCTACAGCTGCTGCAATAACCACTAAAGCACCTATAGCTAGGCGGCCCTTTTACGCTTTACAGCTGCTGTAATAACTGCCTGCATACTACAGCTGCTGCAATAACCACCTAAGCACCTATAGCTAGGCGGCTCTTTTTTACTTTACAGCTGCTGCAATAACTGTCTGCGCCTTTATAGCACTTTACAGCATTTTACAGCTGCTGCATAATCTGTAAAGGTACATTAAAATTTCAGTAACTACTATGCAGCGCATGTATCCTTGATGCTAGCGTGGCGCTATCGCAACCTTAAATTTTTAGCGCGCTTATACAGTTACTATAGATCATTTGCACAGGCACAATAGGGGGGGCCACCTATGGAAAGATAACGCGTTACACACCTCTGTCGCCGCTACCTTAACCGCACCTCTGTCACCACCACGACAGGTGGGACAAGAAATAGATGAAAGCTCATAGAGTCGAAGGCTTGCAATGAGGAGTTTCCTTTGATATTTTTTTTAAATATTGAAAGGGGTTTTCCGGTAGTTATTCTTCATGATAATGACCCAAGGTAAACGCAGTACTCAGCGGGGTGTGTGACGCGTTCTTCTCCGACCGCATGTGAAGTAAGGTATATCAAGAATGCCGCTCTTCCTGTCACATACGACCAAAGGTAGTGGAAAATTTGGGATCTCGTCAAGCTCTTCTCTACAAGTGCATTGTCTTTCATTTCTAGCAGACCAAGAATCCATATCTGGAGTTATATGGTTCCCTTATTAGTGGTTAACCAACCCGCTCGCCCTCGTTGAAGTTTACCACCCACCATAGGCAGAGGATCCAGCTCTTTTCGTAACTTTTTCTCTTGGTTTGACAGGAACAATGCTATTTCACGGGGCCTATCCCTTTCGATTAGTAGTCAGTCAAAATTTATAAACAAGTGATATACGTAGTATTTCATCTGTATAGGTACGTGGACGGACGGTTCGGATATCGTTCGGGAACCACAAGGCAGCCAAGAGGCAACCGAGTGACACAGCCTGCGGCCATCTGTGTACTGCAACTTATCACTTCAAGTTTTGGCTCTCTATTTCATACCCAGTCAAGCGCCGTTGGAACAATTGCTTCAGAATTCGTTAGGCATGAGAGCAAGATGTTGGGCCTCAGTAAGGCAGAGCCACGCCAGATACAATATCTCTCTGGCGGCCAATCGCACATGTCCTTTTTTCAGGCTGTACCATACAATGATACATCATCACACGGCAAGTCGAATTTCATTTGTCACTGTGATGGAGCTGGCTTAGGCACTCGTCGGTGAGGCGTCGGCGAGGCTCTTAGGTTTCCGATGCATACCTAGGTTGGGCTGAAATTCTTCATACTTGATTCTGATACGGCCTCTTATTTATAACCTCTGTGTTCCTCTTCACTGGCATGTCAGTATCGTGCGAGATGTTCCATTTACTTTTTTAGAGCCTTGTACCAGAGTTCTCGTCAATCTTCGATATCAGACCTCTGTCTCTATTCTATTGTCACCAGATATCAATTATGGCCAGCCACCATGGGACCAGCGACTCGGACAATATCGATGTCTGCAAGCGCTGTCTAGGTATCAACTGGGAAGCGATAGCACGAGGCCAACCTCAAGAGTCGCCCATCATGGAATTGCCGGAAACACACGATGAATTATCCAATTCGAAATGCCGCATATGCCGAATCCTCGCAACAATCAAACCGAGTTCGCTCGATGGGACACCCTGCTCAGTTCAAACCTACTCTGCTAGGGCAATGTCATACTCCAGGAGTTCTGAGAGCTCCAACCTACGCGACAGCATCCTTCTGGGCGTAAATGCCCAAAGGGGAAGTCCTTTCGTCGGAATAACTTGTAACAGCCTTGAGTCTGACTTTGGAGTTAGACAAATACAGGCTAATGCAGTTGACTTTGACTTCTTGAAGGAATGCTGGCATTATTGTCAAAATTCCCACAGCTTTGTGTGTGCTACCACCACAGCCGACTTTCATCCTACAGAGAGACCAAACATAAGGGTCATCGATTGCAAGTCTCCAAGCTACGATGTCATCTCCGCTTCTGAGCAGACCCAGTATGCCGCCTTGTCATATGTATGGGGTGACCCAAACCCACCAAAATACCCTCGATTCACGCAAATAGTGAGAGATGCAATACAGGCTACTCTGGCAATGGGACTCGAGTATTTGTGGGTTGATCAATATGTATGTCTCTTCCATTCTTTCTCAGATTGTGATGTCGTTTTCCCATCGTACTAATGCGACCTCAGTGCATCAATCAGGACGATGAGTCGGACAAACGTGACCAGATTTCGAAGATGGATATCATATACTCCCATGCAGCCATCACGTTCATCAATGCGGCTAGCGAGCCCCAAAAACATGGGCTTCCTGGAATCAGCACCATCAGCCGAACCCAGCAGCTCCAGGAGACATTCAAGAACGTTGCCTTCATACAATGCTTCCCCGACATTTCGACCATGGTCAAAGCCTCGCCATGGTGTACCCGCGGCTGGACTTTCCAAGAGGGGTTTTTTGCACCTCGACGCGTTATCTTTACAGAGTATGGGACCTCGTATCTTTGCCATCGGATGCACTGCCTCGAGTGGAAGCGGCAACCGGTGGACGATATCACTGCAGAGTCATTGACCCCGCTTAAGGGTATCGTGCCAATGGCCGCGAGTATAAGTACGAAGACTTTACAGCTAGAACTCGACTGGAAATCGGCTGCAGATTGGATACCCGAGTACACTAAGCGAAGGTTCACGCATTCATCAGATGCCTTGAATGCCTGTCGGGGCATACTTAACTACTTCCGCGGTTCAGAAGACCCCGCATATTCCATTTGGGGAGTTCCCATACCATATGTTGCGTCGGATAGTTATGTATTCGAGCTGGCATGGCGACACGACTCCCCGGCAATAAGAAATGACGCCTTCCCCAGCTGGTCGTTCCTTGGTTGGCAAGGACCTGTTACCACGGGAACTATACGTGTGTTGCCCGAGACATTATATCTTGGGGACTACCAAGAACCGTTTTTGGAAGTCAAAGTTGTTGAACGTGAGTTGGGAGATCGAAGAATCTTGCAAGAAGAGAACGATTGCCGTCTACGATATCTGCACTTCAAGTCCAAAGTTATCTATTTGTCGTTGATACACAATGACTGGACAACTGAGCAGATGAACCATCGTACATCTGTCCGCTACCTTACATTAAAGGGTGTCAAGTCGGTTTCCCTGGATCTTATTCCTGCAGGCACACATGCATCATTGAGGCTCGCACCGAACCTCTATATGCTCACCTATGTCAATTACGACCGCAAGTCTCCCGGGCGCTTGGGAAACATTGGTATCAACCTGAGTCCCTACTCAACCGGCGCGGGCCCTTCTTGGGTCTTCTTCGGCATTCACCTTCTACTACTCGAAGATCACGGGGGGCTCTATGAGAGGGTTGGCGTGACAAAGTTCTCCCTGAGAAGCGATCCCAATACTCGAGTAGCCTTCACAAACGCTGCTGGTGAGCTTCTGGAGAAAGTGGATTTGACAACCATCGTGCCTCATTTCCTAACGGAGGCAGAAGAACGGACTGTTGTCATTAGTTAGGCGCATTTGGCTCTTGCTGGAAAGAAGTAGTTCCTATCATAAAAAAAAAATTGTGATCCCACATTCCATCTCATTTTCACACACATGCAGGCCAAGTTTCGCATCAGATCAAATGGCCAAGCGAACCCTCGAGTGCAGAATTGTGCACCTACACAAGGACCTACGAGCCTGGATACGGCAAGTATACACGCGAGAGTACGTGGGAGTGGAATCTCGCCCGTGCCCTCTTGATACTGGTTCATCAGTCAAAGCATACCGTAGTCTTCTAGACAGACCGCTTGGATCTAGTAAAATCGTCCTTGGAATTGACACACTCTGCTGGCTTTGTTATAATTCGGGCCAAGGGACATGCAGACACATACGACCATAGGTAGTGGAAAATTCGGGGTCTCGTCTGCTCCCCCAGAGACAAACCACTAACCGGCAGATTAGTAGTTGGGTGGGTGACCACCAGCGAACACCGGCTGTTGTATGTTTTTGCTTTTTAATCATTGCTCTTCTTTTGCTCTTCCTTTGCTTTTCCCTCCTATCAAATGCAGATGGCATCGCGACAAGATCACGCACCTCCAGGATGACAAGAACAAGCGTCTGTTGAGTTGCAGCATCACCATCACAGTTGACCATCTCCTGCCAATCGAGTGTTGGCGTGTTGCAATATTGTTAACACGCCGACACTTAAGGAGGAAAGGGTTCTGTGTGGACAATTACCGGCCAAGCCAGCATAAGTCGTCATGCTGTGCCAAGGTTCTTTGTCGTCTACCTTGAGCTTCCTGTCTCCTCGCTCAAGGCAACGTTTTTTTTTCCTCTCTCCAAATGATCATTCCTCAGGCCACGGGGTGTTTATGGTTTCAGCCAGTCACAATCTAATTAGAACTTTGCAATTGCGGCCACTGGCCCGGATCAATCTCATCAGTCTTTTTCCTGTTCTCTGTGAGAGTCATCAGTAGTATAGTACTGCCCATTCTTGGAAGAATTACCCTTTGGCGAGCCTAATATACCTCCCTGCCAAAGGCTTTCAAAACTTGCTGCTAATGATTGCAGAGGCAAGAGCGAGTTAAGCCAGGGGCAGCTGCTGAAAAGGTAGGTCGCCGGCTCTTGAGCCCCTCTATATCCGCCCCCTGAATCTGTACGATTAATCAGCAAATCAGCACATGGTATTCACCATACACAAACCGAACGCCGCCGAGAAACTCGCCATTCATGTGAAGGCAGCTCCACGTCCTTCTTGGTACGTACATTCCTAGATAGGGAGTCGTCGTTTGGCAAGACACATGATTGGGTCTCCCAACGCTTTCGCCGCCTGCTGATCCAAGCTGCAGACGTGAAGTCGAAATAAAGTTTGTGGGCACCTCCTCTAGCTCCCGCTTAGCTGCCCCTTTCTTGGGGTACCAATGGGGAAGACCCGTTCAAGATCGTCGAGCACCGCCTCATATTCCAGCACCCACGTGGCGTATGACGAATCCTTTATAATACGAAGTCTCCGGTACCTTATGAACGCACACTTGTGCAGCGACTATTGCCCCGGGTGAACACATGGGGCGGAAATGGTGCTTATGCCTTGGGCGGTGTGCTTCGCATCAGACGAACAATGGAGAAACCCCTTTCCTTGTATCGTCTGGATCCAGGGTTTTGCGCGGGGGCAAGCCATCGCCAAGCACATGTCTTGAGTCAAGGCCTTTGCAACGATCTTCTTCATGGAAGAGAGCGAAGAGGATGCTTCCGTGACAACCTTGTTGCAGCATCGCGTGCCAAAATCCCCGGTGCATTGACGCAGGAAGTCAGCATGAAGTCGTAGTACCACGCCCTTGGGTATCATCGATCTGGCCAAGACAAACAAGGGAGACCCATGGCTGAGCTGTTCGGCAGTTTACAACGGCTCCTGTTGCACTGCACAACATATCCCGACATAGTAGGTAACCCCACGTCGGGTGTCATCGTGTGCCGGACAATAGGTATTTATGCCCTAAGAGAATAACCGGGCTCAATGGAGTAGGTGTGTAAATCGCAATCAGTTGCGCTTATATAATGAAATCTTAAAGGGAGCTAATATGCAGTTAGTAAATATTAGACTGGATATAATCAGATAATAAAATTATGGAATACCCTACACTTGCTAGATAAAACAGGTGTATTTTAATTTGTAAGAAATAATAATATTATTTTTTTCTTATTAAGTATCGTAATATTTTTGCGCAACTAAGAAGATTATGGAAGAGTATAACACTCTATAATAGCAGCCCTGGAATTGAGTCGGAAGCAGTAGCAGCAGTAGCATTTGCATTTTGGGAAGACGGGAACAAGTCTCCCAATATATACTCATAGTATAGAGGAGCACCAGGTTTCTTCTTACTAATGCGTCATCCTATGGGATGAGGTAATATTGGCCAATCCGCGGCTAGTGAGTTACGGAGTATATAGTCCGTTGTGTTGTTGGGTCAACCCCAGTATGTTTTGTTCGATTTACTTGTCTCCTGCATGGCCTAGCGCTCCCCCCCCTTTATTCTTTCCAATGGGAGATGGTACATTTATGTGCTAGGATAATATGCGAAACCGGTGTGGAAACAAATAGTTCAGTTTTGTTCCGGCCTAGGCGGTGTGTACATGGTTTCCGGACAAGCAGGGGTGCGTCATTGGTCCGTCGGACAACCAGGAGTTTTAGACGCGATTTCCCTCTTCTCTCGTTCTCTGTTTGGATTTCACATGGTGATAACGAGTCGAGATACATAGTAGCAATTGTATGGGGATTGTGTCAGCTTGTCCGCAATCACGGCTACCGACTTAGATGCTGGTCCGGAAGAGAGTTTTGGTAGAGAAAGCCATGTGTTCCTAAGACAGAAAGCGAGAAATACCCTCAGAGGAGAGCCTCGTCATGGATGCTGCCTCTGCTTGCTTGTCGAAGGATGCGTTTCGTATTATGAGCTACCTATGCATGGATGCCCAAGCTTGCGTAAGCGTGTCTGATATGTCATTGGCTGACTCGACCATGTTTGTGGGAAATAACACAGGTAAACAACTGCCATGGTACGGGTTGCTGCCATCCATCTCTCGACAAAGGAGAGACTACAATGAGAACCTCCAGCCCTACCGTGCTACATGAAGAAAGGTAGCGACTACAGGGCAAGGCGGAAATGTATTAGTTGGTTATGGCGCGTAGAAGAAGCGGCAAGTACCTGAGTGGAAATATCAGGGTGATGATAATCCGGGGACGTCTGTACTAACTGGCATTCTACCTGATAACAAATTCCGGATCTCCATCTCTCTGTCAGTGTTAGAGGCAATAGTTTGCAACCCATCAAAATGAACGACAGCATTTCTTGCAAAACAGAAAAGACAAAGGACCCCCTCTAGTATATTTATCTGCACCACTTTGTGTGCTGTCTGTAACTGTGTTCCCAAATTTTCCCTTAGTTCTCAATACAAACAAAACAAAATGCAGCTCCATCTCATGTGGTCGACGACGATCGTGGTAGTTCTGATGGTGCATCGGATCAGTCGATGTGTCTAACGTGACCACGCTCAAGGTCAATCGTAGTCGCGCTCTCGCCAGCCCCGCCCTCCTCGTCGGTTTTCTTCGCAATGACATCGATAAGCTGCTTAAGGTTCCTGATTGCTCTTGGAGTCTGTCAGCAGATTCCTATGAGTTGACAAGACGACTGGGGAAATGCTTCCACACACAGGCAGACATGCGACGCAATGCGATACGCATACGTAATCACACGGTGAAGTTTGTCAACGCCATTGTCATCTCTCTCTCCTTTGTGTTGGTCAGGATAAAGAACCTGGGTGTCGTTCCGTGGGTCGACGGACTGGAATCGGTAGGGGTTGCTAGCCATTGTGTTGTTTGTAAGTCCGGTTGTGATAACGTTATGCTATGGTTTGATCTAATAGGCGACTGTGTATGGTTGCGAACCATTCTGCTGAAGATAAAGGTCAAGGAGGCGGGGGGAGCAGCCCTTTTATAACTTGAACTATGGGGAGACAGAATATACAGATCACTGCTTGCGTGTTGATGGCCTACCTTACGCTGCCGGTCGAGCCACGCCATACCCTTTCTCTGCAAGATGCAGCTTCGAGGAGCCAGTACACGTCCTCTGCTTGCCTCAACGCTCGCCCGTCGCGCCGCGATGTCCCCACAGTCGTGTGTCTCCGTCTCCTCGCTATCTGAACAGCACCGTAACTTTGCCCACTGCGCTGCCACGTATGTGCCTTCAACACGTTTATGGCAGTAGACTTGACGGCGGCGTTGATCAGGCGCCTTCCAGCGCCTGCCCGGGCCGAGCCACCTGCTCCCATGCTCAAGTTTCCTCAGCAGCCCACCGGGAGAGTCTTGGAAAACGGAGACAGAACTCAAAGGATGGGAGACAGTTGGCTAGTGTCAGACACCTACATGTGTGCAGCAGTACCGTACACCATTACATGAATGTGTTCACCGCACATCCATCGATGACATCCATTTGGAGCGGAAGTAAAGCTGCGTCATCAAGAACTCCGTAGGATGTTGTCCGCAGTTGCGCCTGGGTGCTTAAGAAGGACACCGCCCTCGCATTGCAACGCCATCATCATGTTTTCTCATGCAGCTTCGTCCCGTTTCCATCTGGTGCTTCTCCCGGACTGTCCAAGCGTCGCCGTCAACCATGACCAATCAAAGAGCCTTTTCAACTTGCAACTCAGGTCATGACCCTCCGGCACACACCTCCAGTCCACCGCCTTTTGCACAAGAGTGAGGAAACAATGCAGCTTTGGCATCGAAGTGCCGGGCCCCGCTCGAACGGCTCGTTGAAGTTGACATTTTGTTTACTTGGTTGGCTCGGGTGAGGAGGAGGGGGTTTGGATAGAGGAGGTGCCGGCTGTTCGCTGCGCCAGCCTGCTCGCGTGTCATTCATTCGATGTCTAGCTGCATGAACACGGCTTGTTCGCCTTGGTCAGTCTCCTATGGTTTTCTTTTTAATTGGTTCAAGGTGGGTTGCAAGCACCGACGAAGCTGACCTTTTTGAGATCCATGGCTTTGACATGGCCCAGTGTTGAGTGTGGCGGCACATGACCCAGAGCAAGAGCTCCGTCATGCCCGTCGAGAACTTTGAGAGCAGAGAGTTGCCATACTTGTCCTTTGTACAATATTGAGGGCTATTAAGGAGGAATGAATGGTCTTGCTCGCGCCTGGAACTGACCTCGGAGTAGGAATAATTGAGTCTAGGGGTAGTTCGTTTTGTGTAACCTAGTCAACTGGGATGGCTGAGAAAACGGCGATCGTCCCTGAGATATGATCTTATCCATTATCCTGGGAGGATTACTTACTCCTAGGCAATATCGCTGTTGCTCTGTGAAGCCATGTTGTAAAGTCTCATCCAGCGATATAGTAGCACATGTACTGACGGGGATCAGGTACATACGTGTACTATTATTCACTCCAGTCCAACCCCTGCTGTCACCGAAATCACAGTACATTCAATGTACATGACCGAAACTGAAAGAGGCCCCATTCACCTGTCGGTACCTTAGTTTGTTTACGTACCTTACCTTATATATTATGAGTAGGGGAGTGCAGGCTCCGTTGAAGCTGTTGGTAAGACGGCCAACCCCTGGCCGCCCATCCTAAATACTACCTAGATTAGATTATATTCCCGCAAATAGACTAATAACGATTCCGTTTTCATCTGCGCTTGCTCATAGTGCATCTTTCACGGGGCCTTTGGTATTTTTGGTGCGGCTCCGTGAAAAACGGTGGCGTCCCGGGGGTGAAATGGAGCCCCTGTCCTCCTACTCAGTCCGTCTTTCCACATCATATACGCCGTACAGCGCTTTATTATCTCATCCTCCTTCAATTTCAACTTCCGCGTTAGTTTTTTTGTTTTTCTTCTTATTTTCTCTCGGAGGGTTAGCAGCAGTTCCGGTAGTCAACCGAAGAGGGACGGGCCGGGATTAGTGCAAAAAGCTGGCGATGGCTTCAGACATGCTTATCAGGCACACACATATACAAGCGCAATTGGTGAGCAAAACAGGCATCACCCCTTTATTGAGTGACGTCTGCTTTTGGACCTTGAAGGCCGTAGAACTGCGCTTCGTTTCCAAATTCGGACATGCATGTAACCCTCCTTACCCCATGAGACCCATTTCGAGGCCAGCCAGAGTGTGCAAGTCTGCCTCGCGCCCATAGGACTGCCAGTCAGAGAACGAGTAACGTGTAGAGATAAACACGTAAAAGAAGCTCGTGACTTCGATCTGGTGCCGCTTCTCGATCGAGGGAGCTTCAAGTTTTTCTCCCCCCTTTATTACACTTTGCTCCAAGCTTGCTCTGCTCCCGTGAAAAACCGCGTGAGGCTGCCGTAGCCTGACACCTTGGGCAGTTCCGCTCGTGGGTCCATGACACCCTCACTATCTCAGCTCATTTCCAAGCCCCCTCCACCTTGGCTGTCATTCTCAGCCCGTCCTACAAGAAAGAAGAGGAAGAGAAGGAAAAAGGGGTGGGGCAGATTGCGCTCCCGCTACGAAAGGAATGAGTTCTTGTGAAGAAGCAGGTGGTTCATGTCCGAGGGCGTATACGTGACGTGCTCTCTCCGCGGGAGAAGCTCCCGGGACACCCCCCTCCCACATCCAGCATGACCTGGCCTGGCGTTTCCCAACATTGTGCCCCGTTTGGCTGCTCTCTTCCACCGCTCATCGGGTGTAGTAGCATCGTCTTGGTCGGTATAATGGCCCGCCCATCCGCCCTCAGGCATGGAGCAGACGGCACGGAATTCGTGTCAAGTTTGTTCCTACTATTCCAAGGGGCCATCTCGTGAGGGCTGCCAGGCCCATCCTCCCGACCCAACCTTTGCTCCACGCTTCCTGTCGAGACTAGTGCATCCGGGGGAGAAAAGAAGTTGAGGTGGCGTGTCGGCTGCTTGACGCGGACTAATACTCTGCGCGTCCTTTGCCCATCCTCACCTTTGAGTCCCTGATATCCCTGGTTTAGGTGGCGGCCACAGTCCATATCGACGCAGCCGCTCACAGACTAGAAACGCCGTGCTATGACTCGGTCCGGGTGTGCCAAGAGGCGTCTCATTACTCACTATACAGGTCCTTCTGTCATAGGACTTTGCTGCAGCAAGACATCCATATCGCTGTCCCCATGACGCGTCCGGCTGCAGCAAGGCGAGATTGCGCGCTCGTCAACGCAGGTTATGAGCAATCTCCAAGCTCTTGCTATAACACAAATTCCATCATCAATGTTATCACCAGTAGAAGTATTCCTGAACTGTCCTCACAGCCCTTCCTCTCACGAACCGAGTCCCCGGTAACCCTCAGTGGCATGGCCTCGACTATTGATTGTGCAACCACCACGAACTCGGCCATCCCCCCTGTGGTCACACGCCCCCCTTCATGGCGATGACCTCTTCATGCCTCACTAGTTTGCTGCCAAACTAGGTCTTCTCTCCACGTTGCTTTGATGGGAAGGGAGGGCAATTGCCGGGCTCCGGCACCAAAGAACAGGCTGCGGCCAGCCCAATCGACCCCGGTCTTTGTTTATGCCCTTGACCACTGGCGTACCGTTACATTACCTGTACGAAGAAGCCTAGTGGAAGGTCACTAATGCATCCGAAGCCCACAGTGGACGGGGGCAGCCTTATTCTCATCTCCCTCAGCTTTTGTTGAGGACGAGGGGGAGTTGGTCTCCAAGGCCACACAACTCTGCCGCACCTTTGTACTGTTTTACCTACAGATACTCTATCATGTTGTACAACACAGGTAGCTCTTCAACTGAAGGTGCCTGCAGGCACCTTGCGAGCCTTGGGTATACCTATGTACTTGTTGAGAGCGAATACTCTATTGAGGAACCACGATCCCCCCTGCCAAGGTAATCTATTTCTAGAACCAGTATACCAGCAGTAACCAGAATACGTATTGAATGGGGATAGATATATAAGAAATTTGTTCAGAGATTCAGCCGCCCATCCTTCCCTTTTTCTCCTCTACCCTTGTACCCTCCCATTTCGCCTCCGTGCCTGAAGTGGTTGCCAGCCGTGAGAGCATCTGGGCGAGGACAATTACTTGCAACACTGGACTGCCGTCGCAGTCATTCGTGATCCAAGTCCATAGGGTCATCTACGAACGTATCTATGCATCCCTCGCTCACGTCCGTTTGCTCGAGAGGCGTATTCCTGGAGTTTCTCAGCCGGACCATCTCAGTAGTGTATTGCAGCAACTGTAGCAAGCTTCCCAGCACCTGCTCGTCAGTATAAAGGCAAACAAAATAAAAAGAAGAGGAACGAGGAGGCGCCACGAACCGAGTGTCTCTCTCTGGACCAAGACTCTCTGGATTCACGCTGATCCTCCACAGCATGGCCATGATCCTGCGGTATCTCCTGTGATGAAGATTGTCGTTGGTCGGCATCTTTGAGGCGTTGGGTTGCTGAGATTTCAATTCTATTTAACTGCGCTTGAGATAGAGCTAAGGAAGCAAACGGCTTGTTGATTCGGACACTGGGCGTTGCTCGCTTTTATATACTCTGGATCTTATGCAGGCATACGTCAAGATGCAGGAGTCTTCTCTGTCTCTGCACACGAGGCACAAGGAAAGACTATATCTCCATGGTATCGTGCAGATGGTCGGATGGCCATCGGATGCGCTAAGAGTTGTCGAAGCCCAGCGGTAGCTGGAAGCAATAGCATGGGTGGTCTTCTGCCGCGATCACACGCGGAACCCAAGTTGAAGGGCACGCGGACCGTTGAACCCGAGAATCCCTACCTTGATAGCCCATGGCCCTGGGCTTTGACTCCCATGTTGCCGTCCACCGCACCGGGAACCGGTGGCGCCTCTTCCTGGTCACCATCCCCCTGCATGCCAGTTGAGCGG